CTCACCGCACTGCAAGACACGTGTTGGCGTGCGTTTGCTGGAATGCCCACAATGTGTACAGGACTTTACGTGTGAATGGGCTCTTAAGGGACATTATGCGCAGATCAATGGATTGGACGCCCCTGTGATTTCCACATAAAAGAACACATTTCATTGTAAAATGAAACCTTTCTTGCAGGCTGCATTCACACCGGAGCCGCTATCTGCACTCCTGCAACACACAGCGACACCCCTGCCACTTCCTCGCTCCTGCAACACACAGCGCCACCCCTGCCACTTCCTCGCTCCTGCAACACACAGCGCCACCCCTGCCACTTCCTCGCTCCTGCAACACACAGCGCCACCCCTGCCACTTCCTCGCTCCTGCAACACACAGCGCCACCCCTGCCACTTCCTCGCTCCTGCAACACACAGCGCCACCCCTGCCACTTCCTCGCTCCTGCAACACACAGCGCCACCCCTGCCACTTCCTCGCTCCTGCAACACACAGCGCCACCCCTGCCACTTCCTCGCTCCTGCAACACACAGCGCCACCCCTGCCACTTCCTCGCTCCTGCAACACACAGCGCCACCCCTGCCACTTCCTCGCTCCTGCAACACACAGCGCCACCCCTGCCACTTCCTCGCTCCTGCAACACACAGCGCCACCCCTGCCACTTCCTCGCTCCTGCAACACACAGCGCCACCCCTGCCACTTCCTCGCTCCTGCAACACACAGCGCCACCCCTGCCACTTCCTCGCTCCTGCAACACACAGCGCCACCCCTGCCACTTCCTCGCTCCTGCAACACACAGCGCCACCCCTGCCACTTCCTCGCTCCTGCAACACACAGCGCCACCCCTGCCACTTCCTCGCTCCTGCAACACACAGCGCCACCCCTGCCACTTCCTCGCTCCTGCAACACACAGCGCCACCCCTGCCACTTCCTCGCTCCTGCAACACACAGCGCCACCCCTGCCACTTCCTCGCTCCTGCAACACACAGCGCCACCCCTGCCACTTCCTCGCTCCTGCAACACACAGCGCCACCCCTGCCACTTCCTCGCTCCTGCAACACACAGCGCCACCCCTGCCACTTCCTCGCTCCTGCAACACACAGCGCCACCCCTGCCACTTCCTCGCTCCTGCAACACACAGCGCCACCCCTGCCACTTCCTCGCTCCTGCAACACACAGCGCCACCCCTGCCACTTCCTCGCTCCTGCAACACACAGCGCCACCCCTGCCACTTCCTCGCTCCTGCAACACACAGCGCCACCCCTGCCACTTCCTCGCTCCTGCAACACACAGCGCCACCCCTGCCACTTCCTCGCTCCTGCAACACACAGCGCCACCCCTGCCACTTCCTCGCTCCTGCAACACACAGCGCCACCCCTGCCACTTCCTCGCTCCTGCAACACACAGCGCCACCCCTGCCACTTCCTCGCTCCTGCAACACACAGCGCCACCCCTGCCACTTCCTCGCTCCTGCAACACACAGCGCCACCCCTGCCACTTCCTCGCTCCTGCAACACACAGCGCCACCCCTGCCACTTCCTCGCTCCTGCAACACACAGCGCCACCCCTGCCACTTCCTCGCTCCTGCAACACACAGCGCCACCCCTGCCACTTCCTCGCTCCTGCAACACACAGCGCCACCCCTGCCACTTCCTCGCTCCTGCAACACACAGCGCCACCCCTGCCACTTCCTCGCTCCTGCAACACACAGCGCCACCCCTGCCACTTCCTCGCTCCTGCAACACACAGCGCCACCCCTGCCACTTCCTCGCTCCTGCAACACACAGCGCCACCCCTGCCACTTCCTCGCTCCTGCAACACACAGCGCCACCCCTGCCACTTCCTCGCTCCTGCAACACACAGCGCCACCCCTGCCACTTCCTCGCTCCTGCAACACACAGCGCCACCCCTGCCACTTCCTCGCTCCTGCAACACACAGCGCCACCCCTGCCACTTCCTCGCTCCTGCAACACACAGCGCCACCCCTGCCACTTCCTCGCTCCTGCAACACACAGCGCCACCCCTGCCACTTCCTCGCTCCTGCAACACACAGCGCCACCCCTGCCACTTCCTCGCTCCTGCAACACACAGCGCCACCCCTGCCACTTCCTCGCTCCTGCAACACACAGCGCCACCCCTGCCACTTCCTCGCTCCTGCAACACACAGCGCCACCCCTGCCACTTCCTCGCTCCTGCAACACACAGCGCCACCCCTGCCACTTCCTCGCTCCTGCAACACACAGCGCCACCCCTGCCACTTCCTCGCTCCTGCAACACACAGCGCCACCCCTGCCACTTCCTCGCTCCTGCAACACACAGCGCCACCCCTGCCACTTCCTCGCTCCTGCAACACACAGCGCCACCCCTGCCACTTCCTCGCTCCTGCAACACACAGCGCCACCCCTGCCACTTCCTCGCTCCTGCAACACACAGCGCCACCCCTGCCACTTCCTCGCTCCTGCAACACACAGCGCCACCCCTGCCACTTCCTCGCTCCTGCAACACACAGCGCCACCCCTGCCACTTCCTCGCTCCTGCAACACACAGCGCCACCCCTGCCACTTCCTCGCTCCTGCAACACACAGCGCCACCCCTGCCACTTCCTCGCTCCTGCAACACACAGCGCCACCCCTGCCACTTCCTCGCTCCTGCAACACACAGCGCCACCCCTGCCACTTCCTCGCTCCTGCAACACACAGCGCCACCCCTGCCACTTCCTCGCTCCTGCAACACACAGCGCCACCCCTGCCACTTCCTCGCTCCTGCAACACACAGCGCCACCCCTGCCACTTCCTCGCTCCTGCAACACACAGCGCCACCCCTGCCACTTCCTCGCTCCTGCAACACACAGCGCCACCCCTGCCACTTCCTATCTCCTGCAACACACAGCGGCATCCCTGCCAGTGGTGTTTTTTGGTTTTGTACTGCCCTAGGCAAGACTAAATTTGGGCACCCCCCTCAATCTAAATGTGCTGCACCCCATCCTGTTTAGGACATTTTGCACAACCTGTCAGTGACTGGATACAGCGCACACGGGGTCTCAGGAGAGCTGTGCAGAATTTATGGTGGGCTGGTTGGAGTCTATGGTGGGCTGTGCAGGGTCTCAGGAGGACTGTGAATTGTCCCTTTCCCTGCATACATGTGCTGCTCCTCTTACCTGCGCCCGAAGTGCCATCAGTACCAACCGGATACATTGCAGTCCCCAGCCTGCTTCTGGGACATTCCACCATCAAATAACATGCTATGGACAGCCTCGAACCACCCACTGCTTCTCCTCCACCTTCTGTACAAAACCAGCTGGACCGCATCTCACTGGGCCCTCTCCTCCACTGGGCAGCTCTCTAAGTAGGGCCTTGTGGCCGACTAGTTTGCCTCATTAGGCAGCCACTGCTGCCTGATTCTGTGCCGCCCAGCCTCTGCCCAATGGACAAGTGCCCAGTATGCCCAAAGGCAAGTCCGGCCCTGTCCACCTCATTGGTTTGGGGCAGCATTTTCTGCCGCCCCCCTGGAAAGTGCCGCCCTAGGCAAATGCCTAGTTTGCCTTGCGGTAGATACCCCTGCCACTTCCTATCTCCTGCAACACACAGCGGCACCCCTGTCACTTCCTGTCTCCTGCAACACACAGCGGCACCCCTGCCACTTCCTATCTCCTGCAACACACAGCGACACCCCTGCCACTTCCTATCTCCTGCAACACACACCGGCACCCCTGCCACTTCCTATCTCCTGCAACACACAGCGGCATCCCTGCCACTTCCTATCTCCTGCAACACACAGCGGCATCCCTGCCCCTTCCTGTCCTGGAGATTTTTGTGAAGAGTTTGCAGTAGGGGAGAAATGAGACGTGGACATACCAGCTACGCCCGATGTACTTGTATGAAGCTTTCTGGGCGTACCTCATCCACCCAAGGCCCAGCAGCAGGGTCATGGGGACCCCCTAGGAGAATGTGCCGCTGTCTGGATCTCTGCGGCATCGGACCCGGCGATCCCTCCCTATCCTGCGTGCATTCATGGTGCACTTTCCAGAAAGACGCACCTTCCTTAGAGATGAACGCAGGTAAAATGTATCAACTGGATCACATTGATTATGAGTAGCCCCACTCTACTGTCTCCATGGTGCCTAGCGGACAAGAATTTAACTTTCGCTCACATAGACGTAACAGAAGAAACATGTTGGGGACACAACTCTCAGCTGAGAGTCAGACAATTTTTTTTCTCTTTAAATCAACGTTTATTTAACAGAGTAATAATCTGACATTCAAACTTATCCCAAAAGACTGCACGCAGGCAGTCAGTGAATACTCATTTACATTGAATGAACAAACATATCAAATAATGTAGCATAATATCAGACAGATTGGGTTATATCAGGACTCAATGGCACAGTAATAAATCATGACTCTGTAGAGAGAACAACATATCAGCCACTGGTCAAAGACATTGCATAGCATGTTCCGTACGTATGTGTTGGTCGCCTTACATTTCACAATATACTGTGGGAAAGGCCCCCCCTTCGTAGCACATATTTGAGGTAGAATACTAGAAAGGCACTGGGTCCCGAGCACTGTATCACCGCTACTGCCACATATCATACTTTCTGAGCTTTAGGCGACTTAGGTGGGTACCTCGAGGGGTGAGGTAGAGAGGAGAAGAAGAGATAAAGTTGCAAGAATCAGGCAAGAAAAGGTTAGTAGATCAGAGGGCGGGGAGAGTAGCATGGAGGAAAGGGATCCGCGTATCTGGTATCACCCGAGAGTCAGACATTTGAGCAGTGTGAGTAACTATAATTTCCATCCCCAGCTCAGTGTAGTCCCGGAGATCCAATCACATTTCATATAAAATCCATTTGTGACAGGTTCTCTTTTTCTGCGCTGACAGCTAAACCAAACTCTGCACCTGGACGACAAGCAGTGTTGTGACTCCGCCCACTGAGGCAGCCGCTTAAGGTCACGCCCACACGTAGCGTCCCCTTGACTGACTGGCTAGCTACAGCCCTCGAGCAGTTCCGGGTGTAGCAAGATGGCGACCTCCGGAGGGGCAAACATGGATAGGGGATCGGACGGAGGCTGGTTTGTCACCCTGGCTGTAGGGGTGACCCTGATGAAATGTCTTCTCATACCGACATAGTAAGAGCCAGAGACGGTTACCTGGTCTGGAATGGACACCGTATGGGAGAGCAGGCGGGGGGAAGTACCAGCATGTATCGCTATGTAGGGGGTTATTGTGGGACTGCAAGTACCAGCATACATTAAGTGGGGACTATTGTGGGACTGCAAGTGCCAATATGCATTGCTATGTAGGAGGTTGTTGTGGGACTGCAAGTGCCAGCATGCATGGCTATGTAGGGGGATTTAGTGGGACTGCAAGTACCAGCATGCATTGCTATGTAGGGGGATATTGTGGGACTGCAAGTACCAGCATGCATTGCTATTTAGGGGGTTATTGTGGGACTGCAAGTACCAGCATGCATTGCTATGTAGGGGGTTATTGTGGGACTGCAAGTACCAGCATGCATTGCTATGTAGGGGGTTATTGTGGGACTGCAAGTACCAGCATGCATTGCTATGTAGGGGGTTATTGTGGGACTGCAAGTACCAGCATGCATTGCTATGTAGGGGGTTATTGTGGGACTGCAAGTACCAGCATGCATTGCTATGTAGGGGGATATTGTGGGACTGCAAGTCCCAGCATGCCTTGCTAAGTAATGACTGCATTCCTTGATAGGGGGCTATTGAGGCACTGCAAGATCCAGCATGCATCGCTATGTGGGGGGCTATTTGTGGGACTACAAGTCCCAGCATGCATTGCTCCATATTGTGGGTCCAAGCATACTACATTATTGGGGCCTCCTCTCCTAGCTTACACTGCAGACATCTCTAGCTATGTTCCTTGCAGCACCTTCTTCATACATAGGCCCCATTGTCCGTAGTCTGGCAGATGTCACCCTGCAAGCCATAGATAGTGAGATGGATACAAGTTCACAGGTTGGACAGTCTTTGTGTTCCCTGTGATGGTTGGCGGTGCCGCTTATCACCCCTCCGTGAAGATCTGCTCAGTCCCGGGGTTGGATGTCACGCTTCAATCACCATCCAAAGCAAGCCAGTATTGGTCTGTGCACAGTATGGGACTGGTGGACCCAGCATGCATTGCAGTCATAGGAGGCTTATTACATCCCCATCATATTCCATTCGATCAGTGGAGGATATAGAGTGTATTGTGTTCCTTTGTAAAGCCAACTGACATTTGACCTTTCTTCTATGTCACCCGCAGTCATTCCACAGACTTTGAAGTCCACCGGAACTGGTTGGCCATCACTCACAGTCTGCCCGTATCTCGCTGGTACTATGAGGTATGTGACCACTTACATGGATGCCAGAGAAATCTCCTGGGGGGTTAGCAAATTTCTGTGGAGGGGGGGGGATTTGTAATCGGGTTGTTTACAGCAAATGGAGAAACAAAGTTGCTGCACAACTGGTATTACAAAGTGGCTGCTTTGGCCCCCTTGCAAAAAAAAATGATCATGTGGTGCATACATGCAACCCCTCATCATTTGCTGCTCTAAGCACTTGTTTTAAAGTGTATGTCCAGCCAGGCCCGGATTCCCCACAAGGCCACCGAGGCCCAGGGCGCAAAGGGTCGGCACCGGTGTGGAATCCCCCAACTGTATGTCCCCCCCCCACCTACCTCTCTCCTCGCTTGCATCATCCACCAGGCTCCGTCCTCCCCCAGCCGCCGAGTCTCTGCTCCGAGTAGCTGCCACTGATGCGGTGAGCAGAGCGGCAGGGTTAAAAGTAAGTAGGGTAGTGAGAGGGCAGAGCCGTCTTCCCTTCTCTGCTGTCACAGGAGTTCTAGCACAATGCTAGAACTCCTGTCCTGGAGGTGACGGGTTCACTAAAGAGAACCTGTCACCTCCAATTGCTGTCATACAGGAGATTGTTAGCTTCTGTGTGATAGCAATAAAGTTAAGTGTGAAAAAAAAAATGATAAATTATTAAATAAATAAAAATTTTAAAAAATAATTAAATAAAAAAATAAACAGTTGATTAAAAAGTAACAAATAGTAAGAAACAAATGATTACAAAAATAAACAATAATAAGATAAAAAAGTAAACGATAAGATAAATAAACATTTAAAAAAATTAAAAAGTGATAAAGTAAAAAATTAAAACTAACCCTGCTGCCCTGCCATCTGGTTGCCATTCTCCATTGATGGAGGGGAGGAGGGGGGCGCATTGCGGTACCTGGCCTTGGGGTGGCAGGGAGAGTAAATCCAGCCCAAACCCCTTTCTTCATTTTGGATGGAGTGGGGAAGGGTCAGAACCCCTGTATGGTTTTTTTTTTCTTTTTTTCTTCAGGATAATTTTTTTATTAACTATAGAAGATAACTATACAGAAAAGGACGAAGAAGGAGGTCACTTCATAAAACCAATACACTGATGATGAAGCATACATACAACACAGGAGCTCAACATACATATATAGCACAGGTTGGCAAACTCTGGCCCCCCCCAGCTGTTGTGGAACTACAAGTCACATTATGGCCACTAGATGGAGCTGAAGATCATATGAGATGAGTACATATTAGTGACAAGGTACAATGTAATCATTCTAAATGACAGAGGGAGTGAACATATAAATGTAACCATTGCTATACCCCTAGTGGTGAAGGTCACATTTATATGCTCACTCCCTCCGTCATTTTCTTCAATCGTATCTTGTTACTAAGATGCATTTATTTCCCATGATCCTCAGCTCCATCTAGTGACCATAATGTGTGGCAAATTAAAGGTAAGAGCACCTCCTTCCCATCCCAAGAGAGTGCAAAGGATCACGGGTTCCCTGTGGATGCAAGCACTCTAACCAAGGTGACGGTACTTTACTCCTGTACATTTTCTAACTGAACAATTGTGCTGTGCTCCCATGGCTGACATGATGATGCTGCCCCCCCCCCGGGGGATTCAATGACCGCGGCTGTCATTGAACCCAGAAAAGGACTGGCAGAGGATTGGATCGTCTGCGGAGGACATAGAAGGGGAGTATTGCACTGAGATCCCAGGCTGTCATGGGCACACGATATAATGATGCTCCCTCCTGTGATCCCAGGCTTTCATATGATGATGCTCCCCCCAGGGGGTATGCCCATGACAGCCTGAGCTCACAGGAAGTGGATTCAATGACCGCGGCTGTCATTGAACCCAGAAAAGGACTGGCAGAGGATTGGATCGTCTGCGGAGGACATAGAAGGGGAGTATTGCACTGAGATCCCAGGCTGTCATGGGCACACGATATAATGATGCTCCCTCCTGTGATCCCAGGCTTTCATATGATGATGCTCCCCCCAGGGGGTGTGTCCATGACAGCCTGAGCTCACAGGAAGTGGATTGAATGACAGCGGCTGTCATTGAACCCGGGAGGAGACTGGCAGCGGGATGGATTGTCTGCGGAGGACATAGAAGGGCAGTATTGCACTGAGATCCCAGGCTTCTATGATGATGCTCCCCCCAGGGGGTGTGTCCATGACTGCCTGAGCTCACAGGAAGTGGATTGAATGACAGCGGCTGTCATTGAACCCGGGAGGAGACTGGCAGCGGGATGGATTGTCTGCGGAGGACATAGAAGGGCAGTATTGCACTGAGATCCCAGGCTTCTATGATGATGCTCCCCCCAGGGGGTGTGTCCATGACTGCCTGAGCTCACAGGAAGTGGATTGAATGACAGCGGCTGTCATTGAACCCGGGAGGAGACTGGCAGCGGGATGGGTTGTCTGCGGGGGGCATAGAAACCTGGTAGGGAATTAATTTAAAATCGTATAAGGATCAGGAGATGAATTCTGACTTGTAACCATTTCACAGGCGACCTCTGAGTGGACGCTGGACTACCCTCCCTTTTTCGCCTGGTTTGAGTACGCCCTGTCGCAGGTCGCGCGGCTCTTCGACCCTGAAATGCTGAAAGTGGAAAACCTCAATTACGCCAGCCAGGAAACCATCCTGTTCCAGAGATTCTCCGTAATCCTGACGGATCTCCTCTTCATCTACGCCGCCAAACAGTGAGTGCGTCCGACAGCGCGGTCATCTGTACTGACTTTCACATAGAAATCTTTAAAGCGCATGTAAGTCCAAAGCCAAAAATGTTATGTATTGCATATCACCAGCCCTTAGATGTGGCGTCTGCATTAGTAATCTTTTATTTCTTCTGGAACATATCACATTTCCTGTCTCAGGGTGACTCCACTCTATGGCAGAGCAATGGAGCCACCCTTGGTGAGCAGCATTGTCACCCTGTGGGGAGGGTGATGTTCGGTGCTGGTCTTCCAGCTCTCCAGCTGTTGTGGAACTACAAATCCGAAAAGACATTGTCAGTCGCAGGCATGACTTCCAGAGACAGATGCATCATGGGATTTGTGGTTTCACCACAGCTGGAGGGCGGGAGTTTGCTCACCCCTGTTCTTGCAGATTTAGATGGACAAATGAAAGCCAAGCGGCAACTAAAACTTTCTAAACAGTTACAGCAACAGTTTCTTCCTGTTGGGGCTAGTTCACACCAGCCAGAGTGCGTTCCGGCCTGATTGGTGCCGAAACACACTGGATTGCATCCTGGCCGGTTCACTTTGTTTTGGGGCCGGAGGGGGCGTGGCGGTCCATTGAAGTCAATGGCACCGCAGCCACACACCCCGCCTGCAGTGCAATCGCCCGAATGCGCGGTACATCAGTGCCTGCATTCCGGTCCGGTGCTGTCAGAAAAAATGCCGCGTGCTCTATTTTGTATGACTGCACCGGAACGCAGGCACTGATGTGCCACATGTGCGGGTGATCGCGCTGCGGCCAGGGGACGTGGCTGCAGTGCCATTGACGTCGATGCACTGCCACACCTCCTCTCGCCCCAAAACAAAGTGAGCCGGCCGTAGTGCGATCCAGTGCGTTCCAGCCACAATCGGCCCCGGAACGCACTGTCGCTGGTGTGATCTAGCCCTAAGGATAAAGGTTTTACCTGACCATTGTGTGCCCCCCCTGTCAGTGTTAAATGGTTTGTCTCAACCCTCTAACTTCCACGTTTGCTGGACAACTTGGACTGTTAAAGGAAGTTCAAAAATAACGGACCTACTTGCCTAAAAAAAGAGAAAACTAATGCGGCCACCACATCTAAGGATTGGTAAGCTGTAATAAATAACATTTGAGGTTTTTTGGGTTAATTTACTCTTTAATTTCATGTTATTGTCTGGTGCCCAATTCCAACCTGGGTGAAGGATGCGAAGGTCCTCCCCCCGCAACCCCTACAATTACAAAAAGCAGTTATATGCGCCGTCTGTCTGCTTCGGTCCCCTGCCAAAATGCCTATTTACTTGGCCTAAAGGGCACTTCAAGTGGAACTCTGGCATTGTAAAAAATGAACTCTTACAGTGGGGCGACCCCCCCACCCCCGCACTGCAAGGGTTTAACTGCTCACTTTGTCAAGGGGGTGAAAATAAAGAAGATATACTCCCGTGATCCTCGGTCCCGCCGAATTGTTAGACTAGGGCTGCAACCAACGAGCCGATTAATCGAAAAAAATAATAATCGGGCAACTAATCGATTTGTGAAAATAATCGTTAGCTGCAGCTCTATGTTAGACCTGTCCCCGCAGCCTCCCCCAAGCTCCTGAGGTCTAATGACCCATGACGTCATCCCATCTAGGTGTAGTAGACGTGAGGACGGAGAGGGACATTTCCCAGTTGGAGGAGAGAGGTGAGCGGTCTCTGCCACAGGGCCGATGTTCCGGTGAGTATATCTTCTTTTATTTCCACCCCCCCAGAGAAAAATGAGCAGTTAACCCTTGCAGTGCAGGCGGAGCCCCACTGCACGGGTTAGTGGATCACAATGTCTGAGTTCTTCTTTAAGGTAATGGTGTTTTGTGGTGTCTGTAGGTACCTGTGTAAGGATTTCAAATCATTCTTTGTGTTCGGACGGAACCCCTGGCCCAAACTGAACACAGGCCCTCAGCTTTTGTCCAGTTTGGTTTAGCCGCGCCCCCTGTCATTTCATTCATCTGGGCAATGACGATCATGGCATTTTATAGTTGTAGGAGGTCAGGGTCTAGAATCTGATCCACAGGGACACAATGTTTAATTTGAAGATCAACGCAGGTACTTGGCTGCAGGAGGTAATCGCATTTCACCACCATTGGATATAGGGAGTTTTTAGGCCGGGTCAAAATCACATACAACCCAACCAGTGATTGTCGAGATTGTATCAAATGCAGATTACGGCCATTAACCCTTTCGCTGCCAAGGACGTATGGCATACGGACCTACAAAAGTGCTTCCAGCTGGCCAGGTCAGTATGCCATACGGACCTGGCATTTACAGTTCTACTATAAGCTACTTTCCGACATCGGCAGAGCTGCATTGTTCCTGGAATGGATTGGCTAATCACTTGACTTGCTACCGGGAGATGTATAAATAGTCCACTCATTAGGTTTGGGTGGAACTGTCCCTTACACTGCTGTGTGAACAGACTTGTACAGTGAGGGTGCCAGTTCCTCATAGGATATGTTGTGTGGCTCCAGGTGCTGTCGGAGCTTGGACGGGAAGACGGATCGCAGAGATATCCTGGAGCGACCGGCCTTCATCCTCTCCGTCCTCTTGCTGTGGAATTTCGGGTTACTCATCGTGGATCGTATCCTTTTCACAGAACTGTCGTTTATTTTATTTTTAACCCCAAATCTTTTGTCACGTTGTGTGAAGGATCATTGCAGCTAAGTGAGCTTTTTTCATAAAGTGATTGTCAGTCTCCTAAACAATATATAAATCACTCTTCCCGACTATAGAAGAGGTATTGTACTCTCCTCTCCGGCCCGTATGTCCTCCTCTCTATTCTACTAATGCAGCCTCTGTCTCTCCGGCCCGTATGTCCTCCTCTCTATTCTACTAATGCAGCCTCTGTCTCTCCGGCCCGTATGTCCTTCTCCCCTCTGTTCCTCTAATGCAGCCTCTGTCTCTCCGGCCCGTATGTCCTTCTCCCCTCTGTTCTACTAATGCAGCCTCTGCCAGACATCTCTGCATTCAACAGTCCTGGGAATGTCGGATGCCTGTGTCCCCAAACGTGTACTGTGGCTCCATCGTCCAAACCCTTCATCACTGCTGTGCCCTCTAGTGACATAGGGGTCAGAGGAGGGAACAGCAGGACAGAGACATCCCACATTCCCTGAGCTCTTGATCATATTGAAGATGGGAGGCCCGTGCCACTAGAGAGGTGTATGTTATGTATATATCTATCTATCCTCTTAACCCTTGCAGTGTGGCTACCCCAAGATAGTGACTGTAGGTTTGTACTTAAGTTGAATTTGTATGTAAGTTGGAACAGGTACATTTTGTAAGTGTAACTCCAGCCAAAACAATGTTTTGTTGTTTGTATTGGATAGCATAGGGAAGGGTTAACCCCCCCTGTAACGTTTGTTTTGCTGTGTGTGCCCCTGTTCAGAAGATTTCACCTCACTTTCTGTCCCTGTGACAATTGGATTTTGAACATTTTGGGTTGTCGTGGAGCGCGGTAGCATTACAACCACCCCTGCTGTACAGTAATAGTCTCCATTTGTAAGTTGGAGTTGTATGTAAGTCAGATCTATGTAACCCGGGGACTGCCTGTGTAATATATATCTCTCTTTGTTATCTTAAGTAATGACAAAGTTATTGCTAATCAGGCCCATATCAGAAATGTAAAAATTACTCCATGGTGGTTGGGGGGAGGGGGGGTACAGCTGTGAGGGCTGAAGTGGTTAGCTAATGAAACATCGTTAATTATTTAACCGCTTCAGCTCCCACCCTGTGCACCTCCTATGGACCAAAGTAATTTTGTAATTCAGTTCACTTTCCTGAGTTCCCTGTCAGACATCCACTTCCAGTACAATGGTTTCCTCTCGGGTATCATGCTTCTCTCCGTTGCACGATTATTTCAGGTAAATGCCATTGAGGTGTGTAGATGGAGAGCTCAGAAATGGCTCTTCATGTGCCAGCCTGTGTCTGCATTCAATGCACATCTGTCATATTGAACCTGTGGGGGTAGAACTATGCTTCTGTTGCTGGCTAACCCTTAAAGGTGTCACCCTGGTCCTGAGATCATTGGCGTGGCATTCCTGGAGCCTGTGCTTTTAGGGCCTGTTCACCATTGCTGTGGGATATTGCTGTGCCGTCTTGTTTGAATGGCACCCCAATCTAAAAAAGCGGGTCTAAACCCAGGGCCGTCCCTGCAATGAGGCAGTTGCCTCAGGCAGCAACTTATCGGGGGGCAGGAGGTGTAGGGGTAAGGGTGCGGACACGGTGTCCCAGGTTACTAAAAGCTCTTGGCAACCTGTCAAGCTCTGTCCGGCTTCCCGCCCAGCTCACTGATGTCACTGGTTCCCAGGAGCTGAGTGGGATGCCAGACAGAGCAGCGGGACCCAGGTAATGAGCATACAACCCCCACCTAACCACCCCGGAACGACCATTCACTGACTGCAAAACGGCAACAGTATTAACCAGTTGACATCCGCGGTGTTAAACCCCCTTCCCATCCAGGCCATTTTTCAGTATTCAGCGCTGCATGAGGGACATTTATCAAAACTGGAGCAGACCGAATCGGGAGCAGTTGCCCATGGCAACCAATCAGCATCCACCTTTTATTTTCAAACCTTAACTAAACAAACTGAAGAGAGAAGCTGATTGGTTGCCATAGGCAACTGCTCCAGATTCTTCTGCTCATATTTTGATAAATTCCCCCCAGTGTGTCTTTAATACCTTGTATTATAGACACACTGACTACATTTGCTGCATTATGAGGGACGGGACTTCTATCAAGTGTGACCCCAATAGAGAGATTCCTCCTCCCTTCCTGATAACAATGTTATCGCTGGGATTAGAAATGAGGGTATAGCTTGCCAGGGCCACCAATAGAAATCATGGGGCCCTATACAGCCTACCTGACAGCCCCCCCCCCCCCTTGCTGCCTTGGAGGGGAGATTATTATTGCTGTGGGTGGGGGGAATTATTATTATTATTGCCGGGGGAGGGGAAATATTAATAAGACTACATTCACAAAAGGTGTGAATGTGCGATTTGGAATTCCTGCAGCAGAAATCCCTAATCTCCCATTTTAGATGCGGCCACTGTTACCCGTTCAAGTTAATGACCTGGTGACAGCGGCCGCATCTATAAGCTGCAGTCCTCGTGTAACTGGGGCGGATTAGAATATTCCGCGCTAGGGCGGTCCTGTGCAGGCCGGAACTATAATTATCAGGAGCTGTGGCTCCCGATATTACTGCACAGCTAAAAGTGGTGAAATAGTCCCATCTCTCTCTCTGGGCCCTATCCGTTCAGAGGGGGCACAGGGGGACTGTTTCATATTTTGTGGGAGCCGACATGTGGGATCACTCAACCTGCTTCTGTGCATGGAGTAATCCAGTAAACAGTCCGCTTTCTGTCCCTGGGCCCACCTGCTGAACTGACGAGGGCCCGGTGCAGGAGAGCTGCCTCTACTGCTCTATCTACGGCCCTGTAACTCCCCATTGGGGTCACACATAACGGCAGATCATTTTCCCTCATTTCCTATCTCATTGATAACATTGTTATCTGGAAGGGGGGAAATCTTCCTAGCAAGGCCAAATTTGTATCAGTATTCAAGCTAAAAAGAATGTTTTGGTGGAAGTTGCCTTTGAAATGCGTCTTTTTGTACAAAAACGAAGCCAGGTGGTGCGTTATTTGTTTTGATGAATTAACCCCTTCATCTTCCCACAGAAGAGACACCTGGAGAGCGCCTTCCTCTTTGCTGTGCTGCTGAACTTCAAGCACATCTACCTGTACATCGCCCCAGCCTATGGCATCTACCTGTTGAGGTCGTACTGCTTCACTGCCAATAACGCAGGTCGGTGTCTGTATTGCAACACTGTTCTAAAAAACGAGGTGCTGCAGTTCTGAACATTTCCTGTTGTTGTATTCTGCGGAAATGCTTTAACTGTCCCTTGTCTTTAGGGCTTAAAGGGGAACTATGAGGTCAGTGATTTTCACTCCACCTCATAGTTCTAGCCGACCTGTGACAATGAAACTGTCACGCGTCGGCTCAATAAATCAGGAAGTGAGCGAACACATACCGTCGCTCGCTCACTTCTCGATCTATCCCTGCAGAGAGCCGTGATCTAGATAGGCAGAGCCAGCTGTCAATCACGCAGCTGGGTGGATCTCGACATCGATGTCGGGATCCGTCCCGGCTGCGGCCATCTCAGTATACTGAGCTTAGGGTGATGGGAGGACGCTAGTTTGTGTCCTCCCGTGACCATTAGGATAACTATGGGAAAAAACACTGACCCCATAGTTCTCCTTTTAAGTCCGTGTTACGCAATTATGAGGGCGTTAAAGTGTTAAAGTTAACCCTTAGCTTTGCCCATCCAAATGGAAGTAAAGCGGTCACGTAACTCCAACCAAGCAAGGGTGAGTATGTGCTGGTGGGACAAGCAAGGGATGATGGGCGACATCATCCCTTCCCTCCCTCACCAGCACATACTCACTCACCCTTGCTTGGTTTGAAAGCAAAGTGTAACATGGCCCTGTACCCGGACGTACGGGGGATTTTCTTTGCTCCTGGTGGCAGGGGAGGGAAGGAAAGACGAGTATGTGCTGATCATTAAAGTGAATCTGTGGACAGACCGAGAGAGGATAGTTTTGATTGTAACTTTTTGGAAATTCCTTTTTTCTTTTCATTCCCTAAAACTGATTTTGTTTTGTTCCGCAGACGGATCTCTGAAATGGAGAAGTTTCAGCATTCTGCGACTCCTCTCCTTGGCTGTCATTGTGCTGTTTGCCTTCGCGGTCTCGTTTGGACCTTTTGTGTACATGGTAAGCATCACTTTTATAATCCCTATAAAAAAAAAGAAAAATCTTATTGTTTTACTTTTTTATCACCTTTTTTATTTTATTTTTTTACTTTTTTATCACCTTTTTATTTTAATTATTATTTCTAATTAATTTTTACTTTTTTAATCCAATTTTTTTTTAACTTTAACTCTATTGCCATCAGCTAACGAGCCCCTGTGTGATAGCAATTGGAGGTGACAGGTTATCTTTATTGAACCTGCCACCTCCAATACAAGAGTTCTAGCACAGCACAGTGCTGGAACTCCTGTGACAGGTGAGAGGGGAAGGCTGCGAGTGCATCTCTCCCGTCTCATTGTATACACTGAGCAGAGCGGAGAACTTTCCATTTTAAGAATCTCCAGCCTGTAGAGAGAGGTACATGGTGGGGTCGTTGGAGAAGGACGGAGATGGGAGGACGGCTACATTTAGCCCTGCTTGCGCCAAAGCTGCCCAGAACTGCATGTCCCGGGCGTCGGGAGATTCTACACCCACCCGGGCCTCGGTGTCCTTGTGGGAAATCTGGCCCTGCTTGTGTGTGCTAGTAAGCTGTGTGTGTCTCCACCAACACACCGGTACAGCAAGATAGGTCACTCCCCTTCTCCAAGCTAGTAGATGGACAGCTGCTGGAGACTGCGCTCTCCCTTGTGATCTTGTACTATAGATGAACCATACAAGGCTTGAAATCTCTTTACTTACTGCATAAATCAAGATCACATGACCAGCTGCCAAGGCATTCATCAGTTGATTTCTTCTGAGCCGCTCCTCGGCTATAGTTTTTTGTGTTGGCCATGCAATAGGCTACTGTGCCATCTCAGAGGGTCCATTTGTGTGAGCGAGGTAAATATTTAATTCTTTGTTACCTTTTTTTTATGACTTTGAATCTTTGTCAAAACGGCTAAATACAGTAAACTCCCCGTTATCCGGCATCCACGGGGATTGGTAGATTCCGAAAAAATGTAGTTTCTGGTTGCTTGAGAGTTACTATCAAAAATAGGTCTAACTAATGCCATACCCAATACTATACCATAACATAAACTCTGTACTGACTTCATATTAATAATGAAATGCAGTCATCAAAAGCAGATTAAAGTGACCTTAAACCCTCAGATTTTTTAAGATAAAACAATAGTGTAATGTGCGCCTTACTGTAATCCATGGTAGTTTCCCTTCTCTTTGCTGCTCTTCCTTTTAAATCTGTATCTGTTCTCATGCTTGGGGAGAACTTCCCTTTGCATCAGACTGCTTTGTCTCTGAAATGGATACATGGTGTCTGTGTATAGGTTTGCAACCTGAGCCATCACTACAGGAAGAGGCCCTCAGCTGCAAAGGGAAGTTCTCCCCCAGCATGAGAAGACATGAGGATTTAAAAGGAAGAGCAGCAAAGAGAAGGGAAACTACCATGGATTACAGTAAGGTGCACATTACAGTATTGGTTTATGTTAAAAAATCTGAGGGTTTAATGTCACTATAAGACCAAATAGACACACGATCACTTCCAAGGTAATACATGTCTCAGATCAGCAAAACAGCGAGTACACAGGATTTTTTTTTTTTTTCTGGTTTGGTGAGAGTTCTGGTTAGTTGAACACCGGATAACTGAGAGTTCACTGTTTGTAGATGAAACACATACATGCAAATCATTTTGCCTTCCGAAAGATTTGTGATTTATGTGCAGTCTTGCGATTCCCACATTCCTCCAGCACCGTACAGAGGCAGCCTGCTAATTGCACAGAGAAGATGATGCTGATTCGCTGTCCACTGAGCAGGCTGGAGGTAATGAGGTGACTCCGGAAGCTCCAAAGCTTAACCAGGAAACAATGGCAATTCTTGTGCAATCAGCCACAGAGGAACCGGTATCCAAAACAAAACCAGCTTTATTATGATAAATGTCAGATACAATCCAAAGTCAAACATGTTCTAGAAATACACCACCATAGTATCTCTGCCACACCGGAGGTGAGAGGCATTGAGGTGGTTCCTCTGTGGCTGATTGCACAAGAGTTACTAATTGAGTGGGAACACACTAGCCTGCAGTCGGCGGTGTATACATTGACTGACAGTCGGAGGTGGGATTGGAGCGGTGAGTCTTTGGTGCTTTTTTTGGGGGACAGGAAACGATGGTGTCACCGGCTGGACTTTGCAGTGTGGTGGAGGTGTGCAAACCACAAGCCTGGTTGAACAGAGTTACAAATCCTTTGGATGGTCAAACCGTTCACAAAGATGGACCTCAGCTGATGTACAGGGTAGTGGGCATGGAATGTCTTATCAGGTTCACAGGTCTACAGGCAGCGTAAAGCAAACACTCCTCTGACAGACGGCACAACATCTAATGGAATGTTTGTATTCAGAGAACACAGCGAGACGTCCTCATGGTCTGTTCTTGCGCAGTAAGGTGATCATGTGTAATAGTCTGCGATTAAAAGTAACGTTCTTGTACAACTTCTTTTTTTAAGGGTCAACTTCCTCAAGTCCTTTCTCGCCTTTTCCCCTTCAAGAGAGGTCTCTGTCATGCCTACTGGGCTCCAAATTTCTGGGCATTGTACAATGCAGCAGATAAAGTGCTCTCCATTGTCGGTAAGGTTTGTATCTATACTAAGTGTGCCGAAATCTTCCAATCCAGGTTATATAATGATCTGTGCTCACTCCTCTGTAGTGACATCACTGACTACCGGCATACGCAATACGCGATGTCACTGATTACCGTCACCTGCAGGGAGGGAAGTGGGCGAGCCCCCCCGGGCATGCAGGGAGGGAAGTGGGCGAGCCCATGCTCGTGCAGGGAGGTAATCCTGCAAACAGAAAATGGGGGGGGGGGGCAGGGGGTTGGCTGACATTTTGTAATGAATGGCTTTGGTGTTGCAGGCATGCAGGGTGGGAAGTGGGCGAGCCCCCCCCCCAGGTATGCATGGAGGGAAGTGGGCGAGCTCCCCCCCAGGCATGCAGGGAGGGAAGTGGGCGAGCTCCCCCCCCGGCATGCAGGGAGGGAAGTGGGCGAGCTCCCCCCCCAGGCATGCAGGGAGGGAAGTGGGCAAGCTCCCCCCCAGGCATGCAGGGTGGGAAGTGGGCGAGCCCCCCCCCCCAGGCATGCAGGGTGGGAAGTGGGCGAGCTCCCCCCCCAGGCATGCAGGG